CACTCAGCTACCCAGCCAGTCATGTTTTATCTTGCTCCATGTTTTGTAGTTTTGAAGTAAATGCGATATTTTATATGCTACTAAAATTAGCAGTGTTAAACAATACAGTATTTTAATTGTATGGTTCCGTCTAAAGTTTTCGTGGAGATTTAAAAGGGCATTGTTTGGGAACTTTTGATTAAAATTGTGTTTAAAGAAGACTCAAAAGTTGTTGGTCAGTAAAATAATTTAATCAACAAACATTTCAAACTAAAATTAAACTAAAACACATAATTAGTCAATATATTTTTATTATGTGATGAGTATTTTATTCACACACACTAATACTATGTTCCATATAAATCAAGCATCATATTAATGTAGTGTTAGAGATCAAAGTATTAATATAGTACCGTAATTGAATATTAAAATCATTAAAGTAGGCTACATTCTATTAAATTGTCTGATGTGGTAATAGTAGTATATTTTCTGTGCTGATGTATACAAAACCACTAATATAATAAACACTAGTGAATTTGATGAGTACTTGATAGAAGTTTTGAAACATTTAATTCAAAACTTTACAAGTAAAGATACAGTTAAAACAATCTTTTGTTATTGTTTCCAGTATAATAAGTTACATATAACAGCATTGAGCATATACTAGGTGATTTAGTACTGTAGATTGTGGTTATTGTATTGCCATGGCTGCCCTTAATGTACCCTAATGTTCCTAGCAAACATTCTATGTATTTAGATTGTTATTAAGTTTCCAAAGAATATCATTCTCTTAGTCGTCTTAAGTAAAATCATTTTTGTTAATTTTAATGCTCCATGCTTGGAATCCCATTTACAATTTGAATAGTAGCCAAGACAAAGAGTCTTGGTGTAAACATTTTTGGTTACTCTTGTAAACATTCGTGTTGATTCATGCTAAATTGATGTTTCTCTTGTATAATTAAGAGGCTCTCACCCATTTTCATAGAGTGGTCCTTTCAATAACAACAACACTATTTCCAAATGTACAACTTGAGTTAAATATTTTTCTAAAATGTTATACATATTAACTATTATTTTATTGATTAAATAAACCTTAAGTCTTATAAAATATTGTTTCTTATGTATTCAATTCCTATTTGTATATTATATAATGCACTATGGATGAAGGTAGCATTTCAGGGTCACGTGTTATGTAAGCTCTGTTAAAATTTAAATTTGAAAGCATTGTTTAGGTGGTTTATTTTTCAAATTTTCCTTCGAATGTTCCAGCCAGGGGCCTGATTTTAGATTTTAGGGTGTATTCCTTTTATTTCCCTGTTTCACCTGTTAAAAAAACCTTAACATGACAAAATCCCAGTGGATTACACTTATAGACTTGTGTGAATATTTTCTACTTTTTACAACTGCCAAATGCCACGAAAAACGTCAAAATGTTAAATATTTCAACGACAGACTCAGAATTCAACATATATAGCCTAAGAATGTTACACCATCAGCCTCAGAATGGTATTGAACCAACGATTGGTTCATCATAATATCATCATTATCTTGTACCAGTCACATCATCAAAATGTTATTCCATACCATTAACAGAATCAGAACGTTACCCTATTCGAAGTCAACGATAGATTTAGAATGCTATCGAATACCAACGACAACTAACAAAAGCCCCAGAACTTTATTAGGAACAAACTATACTCTCAGAAAGTTATTCTACATAAATACCAGCCTAAAAAAGTTATTCAACATCAACCAAATCTGAGGGAACTTTTTCACTGCCAAAGTCAACCTGATAAGGTTATTCAATACCAACAGACTCAGAATGTTATTCAGCAGTAAATAGTTATTCACAATGTTATTCTCCATGTCCAGCTATCCCTTGACCTCATATCCCCCACCATTAAAGGTGCCAAGGTTTGTGACCTTGGTCGTCTTCACCGAGAAATGCGCGATACCGACACCTTTAACACCTTTAACACCTTTACACCTTTAACACCAACACCTTGACAGTACTTATCGTAGTCGTATCTCGTCGTTCATTATGGTATGCAATTACTATAGGCTGGCGTCACTTTACTGTGAGGTGAAATAGAGAAAGATGTAAAATAGAAACGAGTTGTAGTTAACTGTTTCTCCAATGTTACATAATATCGGTCCAAACTTCACGTGTTCGTGTTACTAGTTTTATCTCAAGTTTCCTATTATTTTACATATAAAATTGTAACAAATTTGGATTCACAGGAACAGAATTTGAGTTGGAAAGTAATAAAGAGAAGATAGAGAAGATAGATAGAGAAGATAGTTAACGTAAGCTTACCTCACAAAAGACAATGGTTTCGCAAAACCATTACTTACAATAGTCATTTCAAAAAACCTATTTGGCAGTGAGTCCAGGATAGCCTACAATGAAAAGTGGCAGTGACTTACCATCATTATCTGAAGCTCTGTAACAAATGCAATGCATCACAATGCAAAGATAACATAGGGAGAATAGATGGATTTTGCAGAGCTCCCATCGTTGACTAGGTATCATTGACTATGAAGTAAATTCTAGGTATGTAACAGCAACTGCTATTTGGGCCATCATTGACTACTGTCACTGCCATGTCAATGTATGCCTAAAGGAAAACAAAACAGAAAGTATACAAGACTAGCAACAAAGCCCATTGTGGTGCAACGGTCATAGTACAAAATACAATGCTTCCACAAATGCAAATATTGTAATGTAATCAAAGACAAATAAAGGAAACAACAATACAACAATCAGCTGTTAAATTACTAACACATGTTCCATATGATCAGATGATGCCTACCACGGATGTATTTTGCTCAGAATTTACAGTTGACTAGCCTATGCAACGTCTTGACACTGACAGTGACTTACAGCTTCACTTAGAGCTGAAGGTTATACAGACAATGCAACTCTGATGACATAGAGTGATGATAAAAATGTCAGTATATCGTAGCTTTTGATGGTTCACCATTGTCTACGTCTCGGGGAAGCTGTGAGAATATCATGAAGGAAATAAATACAACATCAATTCAGAACAAAGATGGCATTGGATTTGTAGGAATTTGGCTCGGTCATGGTGAAGTGATAATGATGACTTTCGTTATCGTCTCCTAAACCTCAAGATCATTTAGAACGTCTACTACATGATGGATGATTTTGTCTATTGGGCAGCAGGAATAGCCAGATTGTGGTATGACTTTCATTATCATATTCTGAAGCCCAAGTTCATTTTCGATAAAGTTTCCTACGATGCTTGGATGGCTTCTACAAGGCAGAAGAATTTATCAAGATTCAATAGGAATAGATGGTTACTATTGGCTAGGACCAGGTGAAGAAATGTAAACCATTTCTATAATCGTATTCTAAAGCTTTAGGTATGTTCTTGATTGTGTATCACAATGTTGAGATTTAGTAGACATGTGACAGTGATATTGGCTAGGCCTGTCTGTTGGTTATTACTTTCTAGGTCTTGGAGAAGCAGAAACAAAGACACAATCTCCAAAAGCCAAAAGAAATGTTGTAGAAACATTACCCCAGGGCAGAGATGGGCTTATTGGGAATCTATGGCCAGAATATTGAAGCTTACTGTTGGTTTGGTCTAGATGAAGCTGATAAATTACTTGCATGATCAATTCCTAAAGCGCAAGCTAATTCTTCATCAAACTCTTCCCAATATTGCAGCCAATTGGAAATAGTTTTGGCTAAGATTTTGGAGGTAACTATTGACTAGCTCTAGGAAGTTGCAGTGTGATGTCCCATCTTCTAAAGTCCGAAGAATTATCATGGAACATTCGCCCCTAAATAGATAGTAGAGCTCAATGGCTTAGGAGGGTTTTGAAGGCCACCGTTGGCTAGGTCTAGGAAGTGGCAGTGACTTTATCATTATCAGCTTCAAGGCAATCAAGAAGTCAGTGGCACCGGAACTACAGCCGCGCCCTGCACACCTGCCTCAGAGTCGTTAGCACGGTTTTTTACTTAAAGATTTTTGAACGAACAAAGCATGACCTCGAACACTTTTGGTTATATCACAATGAAGTATACTGTTATGTAAGACACTTTGGAAGCCTCGCTTCAGATATCACCTCGTAGTGTTAGGGATTTGAAGCTGGTTGAATTTGTTTGATTTTGGGTGCTGTTGTAAAATCAAAATGTAAGCTGCAAAAGAAACAAAAATTGTCATGAAAATTGTTTTGTAGTGCATGCTGCAGGTATTTTGTTCTAATTTGAAAAGTCAACTCCTGTATAATCAATGTCTAATTATTTCCTAACATTAAACCTCTAATGCATTAATCAAGCCTATCAATCCACGAAAATGGTCTCCTTGGTCTCCTTAATCTTAAACCATGAGAGGGAGCTTGTCTAGTGGTAGAGCTCGGGACATCAGTACCTAAGGTCCCGGGTTCAAATCAAGCCAATCGCCAATACATTTTAACTTAGTGATAATACCGCAATCTCTATCCTAGACTGAAGTAATGTAGAAAACAATACCAAGCTTTTTTTTAAAAAAAAGAGGTTGGTGGCCGAGCTGAGTTAAAAAGAAACCTTTTAACTATCATCAGTTCAACCCCCCACTGTTCCTGTTATATGAAAATCTTAAAATTAAAGGTGAAACAGGTGGAGATTCAAATACTAGACTGTTATTTATTGTTACGTGTGTTTGGTATTATTTCCTTTAGGTTTATCCTTAAGAATACGTTGGGTTGGTTTTAGTCATTAAAGAATTCTCTTGCGTTCTTTATTACATTCGTGTATATGCAATCAGTAGTTGAGTAGCTATAGTTGCTTCCTGCAGTTTCTACGAACTGCTGAATCTACAACTCTACATTATAGTGTGTATGATTGATCCTGGCTCGTGAACCATCGTCTACCTGGGCATTTCCCGGGCCTTGCACATTGGCCAGTCTCCGGTTATACGAAGAGTCGGTAGATAGGTTTCATCATACAGATTTTAACTCAGTTTTCAATGTTTCTTCCCCAAACTTATACTCATAGTTTTGTTATGTTCCAGAGGGCGTCTACCAGAATGACGGGCTGGCTACGAGCAGATGACGGCCCTGTATTGTACAGCTATCACAACCGCACCCCCGTCACCGGGGACCTGCAGGTCATCATCGTCTACCTGATCTTCGCCACTCTCTACATCGCCTTCCTGCTCATCTTCCCCGGCATCCGGAAAGAGGTGAGAACCGTCCTCGTTTGCCCCAAACGAGGTCTAGAACAGCCTTAGTCCAGTGGGGTTGCTCCCTGGACTGAAACAACGCGTTCTAGGATATCGAAGAGTTTAAGTGTAAATGATTGATGGCAAGACATGACTTCATTCTGGTACTGGGATTAATTTGAAAACTGTGAACAGTAAAGAAAACACCAAGTATAAATGTTAAGTTTGATGGTACAGTCTACCAGCTACATTAAACTTATTTACTAAATTATGGATAAACTCCTGGATCTGAGAAGCAATAAGGTAAGGTTTGTTTAACCTGTGCTGCAGTTAAACGACCCTGTGTATTCAACAGCTGTTTCATACTAGAGTAGGCCTACATAATTTGGGTCCGGAGTATTTTGTAATGTGTCACATCAAATATCTTATGTCAACCTCTGAGTTTTTTTTTAACTAAACTAGGTGTCCATATCAGCGATTGCTGCACTTCACCTCCGTTGTAATTTTGCCTTAACCATTCCCTATGCTGTGCACCATTCTTTAATACTCTCCTTCGTAGTCGCGGTTTTCCCCTAAAAATACATTTCACTGCATCGCCATTCTAACCTAAAAACAAAACACAAAATCAATAATGTTTACATCAGCTGGTATTTAAAACAGCTAATAGAAACACTGTAGCAGTTCTTCCATTAGAAAATTACTGGATCTTTGACGGATTGTGCTGCAGAGCAGAGTTAATTTTAGACACTTCTGATATTTTTCCCACCGTCCTTGGACCGTACTCTTTAGAATGAATCCTCAACAGCCATAATACCTTGTTCCCAGCTCTGGATATTTCGTGGGAACCGATTTGCTTACGTAATTAAATATATAGATATGAACGAAGGACGGATATTAAACGTAGTTGATGAACGAGTGAGTAGATATATTACTGCCTAAGCTTAGATGTTTCTTTAACCAAGATAATTTATTTAGCCCAATGATCGAAGAAACGTGGTTCAGATTCAAATAATCAAAAATATAGCGACTTCTCAGGATCGAACCGGCAACTTCATGTAGGCGAGCACTAAACTCGTTAAAGTATCATTTGGAATCAATTTGATTCCAAATGTATATAAAGCATCTCTAGTTGTATGGTTAATTTCTATCAAAGTTACTCCCACTAAGGAGATCACGTTTGCAAACCTATTTGGAATCAATCCAAAACAATTATCATACCATAATGCTTTGGTATTGATTCTCAATCTTGTTTTACATAAAGTGGAATAATCTGACATTTATCTTCGAGTAGCAAATTTATTTAAACTTTGCAAAACAGTTTATGGATATATTACATAAACATGTATTTCACATGTATTTTTTTCTTTGTTAACATGTATTTTCAAATTCAGTAACAGTTACTCATTTATTACTTTGTTCATAAATAAATTTCATTTAAAGTTCAAATACAAGTTAAAATTCGTTTTGGAAATTCGAATAGTATACATAACATTTCTTTAAAACAGTCTGGTTTTGATTCAAACTCTGAAAATAAAACGACGATGTCTTACATGATTTGCTAAGTTGTCTCAGCCCCTATGATGTCAGGTCCATTACTAAGGTCAAGGCACAGGCATTGTACTGTCATCTGTCCACCCTAATCATGATCAAAGACTGTGAACTTGACTTCAAGGTCTTGGTTGGTAATAAATATAGATCATTATTTAATTACAGAATGAGGGAGTTAAGCGTTACCTTTTATTGTATGTGTTAACATGTGTGTATGGTATTGTAGTGAATATAATGTTAATTAATTATTTCAACAATTCAAACAAAGATTTCGTCTAATAGTAACAATCCTGCATTTGCACCAGCTGAAAATGAGTGGAATGAGAAAACATGTGTAGCATTGTTACTGACTAACAGCTGTTTCTTTAGGTCCATTGATTAAAATCCCAATTAATTAAGGACAGCTGGTTCAGTCTAAAGCCATAAAAGCAAATGTATTTTATTATGATTTAACAGTCAAACTTCTGGCATTAATACATTGCTTGAGTAAGAAAGACACTTGCTCACCAAAAATTTCCTCTTCAAATGCATGTCGATAGACCCTTCAATGATAAATAACTTTTTTTACCAAACTGTATACTATAGTTAGACTTACACTATGATTACATTTATTTTTATTTTTGAGCATTCCATAAAAAATGTTTTTTCTTGTTTCAGAGATTTGCCACCTTTGTCACAGTCACTCTTAGTCTTTTTGTCGGCAACGTCATAATGGGTAAGTGTTATAGTAATTTTCATTGATTTGTTAAATTTCCATTGTACCATTGACTATAAATATGCATTATGATATTTTAATATTAATTTTGAATGATTTAAACGATATCGTTGATGCTCATTTTACGTTCTATAGGTCTTTTACTGATGCCCATACTGGTACTACAGTCAGAAAATCTCTCTTTTGAATTCCTCAGTGTATTACGTCTATCACAACATTCAAACCGATTTGAAGAAGTTTTCCCAAGTTTCAATACTTCGCCACAAAACGTTTAGTGACTGAACAAACTTTTAAGACGCTTACCGTATTTGATATTTAAACTGAAGTTTACAATTTTAAACTTAGACAATTCTTTATTGAACTGTCAAATTCTTTGTTTGAAGTGAAAACAGATTAGTGTTAGTGTTTTTGTAGTCTTCTAGATAATGTTCAACATTAATAAATCAATTAATGATGACTTGTAATGCGCAGGATTTCCGTCTCTTGCTAAAATAACGTCAATCACAAATGCATTTTATCCAAGTTACAATAACGGAAACAACTATCAAAATATAACTTGAAGTAATGTGAAAATCGGTTCAGGCTAGAGCTAGGATGCTTTCAGGATAAAAAGTGAGACATGAAAAAGAATAATAATGACATCTATTTGATTTTTTTGAAAAATGTATATATTTTTACCCATTAAATATGCATTTTTTATCAAGTTTAGTTTTTTAAAATGTTTACAAAGGAAAAGCCAATATTTAAGACTAAGTTTCATAGACTCATAGAAATAATTTCGTAAAACTCATTAATGCCAAGTCAAATTTGCTAATGTAATATTGTAAGAAGTAGCCTTGAATACAAACGGTAATGGCTATGTATAAGAACTAAACATTATGTAAAAGACTAATAATCTCAAATAGGCGGATAGAAAAATTCCATCATTTAAGGCTTCTAAAACTAAAGAATGTACAACATGATCTTATTTATATACGAAATAATATTTTCTTCTTTGTATCTTTTAATTGCGAGAATCGGTTAGTTTAAATTATTTCGCACACAAACATCGGAACAATTAATTTCCTGGATGATGAAACGACTATAGTTAAAGACAATTAATTTTTCCTTGACAGATTTATTAGGATTTGTTTGAGATTGGTTTTTAATTGGGTTTCCGATTTCCATTCAGTAACGCATGAAATAATGTTTAGTCTTTTTCCAAACTTATAAGCCAATGACACTTAGTAAACACTTAGAATTTGGCCCACAAAAGACCTACATAGGTTAGGTTATAGGGGATTTAAAAAATGAACTTTTTGTACATTTTAAAATATAATTTCTAATTATCTTGTTTCATTTTGTCACACAGAAAATGTACAGTTGACATTAAACATTTTCAATCAAGTTGAACGATTGGAAAATGGACAGCAATAAAAGTAATATCAATTAATGTATTACCTACTGTAATATCCATTACTGTATTATTTATTTGAACACCCTTATTCCTGTCACAACAAGAGGATTTTGATGATAAATATTACTTGACCTACATCATAAATCGTTAGAATCAGTAGTGTACGCTCCAAATTCATTTTACTTTTCCAATGGTGGTGGGCAAGTTTTACGTTTGAAAAGGATAAGCAGTTTATCTATATTCTTGTACGATCGTTTTCTCATTGCTTGTTATATTTTGAAAACCAATGGATGCAGAATTAGAACTCGGGTTGTTGAAGTATTTTTACTACGTCAAATCGATATATGGCTTGACGTCATTGAGCATGAGAACCCTGGGGAGAAGTATTTTCAAATTGGTTTACATCGGGCTGATACTTACGGTCTTCGGGATCGAGATGATGATGTATTTGTATGAGTATCAGAAATCATCTCTTCATCAAAGCATCGTCATCTTCTGGATTCTACTGAATTTGACAACATCTTTATTTGCCCTCATCAGTTTCACCGCCGCTGCTCTCAATCCGAAGACCCTAATATCCTCCTGGCTTAGTGTACTATCAGCTGAGAAAATGCTAGACGTCGAGAACGTCGTGACCTCATGTAAGTCGGCCTTCGGTATTCTTCAAGTTGTCCTGCTAGCAACAATCATCTTCGGCCAGACTGCAAACATGTGTGCGCTACTTTTTGAACAGCAAATATTTTTCAACCTTATTTTTATCACTTGTCCTCTATTGTACGGCGCTGCTGTCATACAGACTTCGGAACTAGTGATGTTCGTTGCAAAGCTGACAATTGTACAAAAAGACATAAACTCCGCCTTGTCACAGATCACCCATCAAAATCGCAAGATGTTGAATGTCTTGATCAGAGTTCAACAGGCTCTGTACCATGCACAAGTTGATTTCCAAACTTGTGTATCACTCTGTCTCATATTTATCTGACTCAGTGTGGAGTTCGCGCTGCCCCAATTTATCTTAACATACAGATTGTCCACTATAGCTCGTGTTGCTGCTTACATGATCATCCACCCTATCATGTTTGTAGCAGTGTTCGCTGTGCACGAGTTTCTGCAATCAGCCAAAGAAGATCACCACTTTGTGTTAGTGAAGAGCCTTTACAAGCCCGACATGCTGCAGCACCGAAGATCAACCAAACATCAACTGTTGGCCAACATACATCGGTCTGCTCCGTTCTCCTGCAGATTGTTCGATGTCCGCCTTCGAGTCATGTCTGACATTGTAAGCAATGCCATGTTGATCATTACCACATTGTTGGGTGATTAAAACTGTTGAGAATACTCTTATAGAATTTAGTATCCTCTTACTCTCATTTTCTATGCCATAAATATAGGTACTACCATGTCCTTGAATTCTCGCAGTGCTTTTGATTGCATTTTGTGTGCATAAAACTAGGTAGATTAGTCATATTGAACTTTTTTTAACTAGCAGAGTACCCGTCCATCGTACGGGGTTGGCATATAAGTTTAAAATGCTTATTGCAGTTATACTCAAGCTTTGCGTTTGCAATGGGGGAGGACAAAATTTGGTTAAAAATTTGCTTCTTTAAATTGACGGTATACTAATAGTATTAAGGCCGGGGCCACACGACGCGGATGATCCGCGTGGTCCGACAACACATTGAATCAAATGAGAGTGGCCACACGGGGCGATCCAAAGGCCCCGTTTATGCACCAAGTGCGGGAGCGGGGCGATAGCGGGCCCGCTCCCGCTGTAAATGAGTCTGTTTATGCACGAAGAGCGATAGCGGTAGCGGTTGGTTAAAGGAGAATTTCCGGGGGGCACAGTCTTGCCAACTCAAACTCTGCCAAATAATTAACACAACTATTTGTCCTAAGTGCACGTGCGCATGGATCAAGTTGGCAACCCTGGCTTCAGCCGCTCCCGCTCCCGCAGTGCATAAACAGACCCATTTGACTCAATGTAGTTGAAAACCGCTCTATTCCAAGCAACCGCTGCGATTTCTAACTACACAGCGGGCGAATTAGAAACCGCAGCGGGAGGTCAACCGCTATCGCTATCGCTCTTGGTGCATAAACAGCCCCATTTAACTCAATGGTGTTAGAAATCGCTCCCGCTGTCGCTACCGCTACCGCACTTGGTGCATAAACGGGGCCTAAGCCGCCTGGGCGGATTGTCCGCGCCATGTCGCGCGATCATAAGCCGCGTTGGAGGGGATGACACACGTAGTCTTATGAGAGTGGCCACACGATACGGATTGTCCGCGCGGTTGGAGCTCATTTTCAAGCATTTATAGTGTTTTTTTTTTAGTTTGTGCTTGTGCATTTCGGTTTATAGGTGTAAAATGGTCGATACAGACAAATCAATAGAACTTGTTAAAGATAATGTGGGATTTCTCATGTTGTACATTTCTCATGAGTATATCTTCCTTAGTTATATGCGGTCAAAGCAATTGAAGTAGCTCGTCAAACGATGCTATTTACATGCGATAATAACAAAAAAAGACTCCGAACTATGGTTTCGCATGTGCTCGTAAAAGGTTTGGAACACAAATGGTTTATCGGTTATGAAATGATTGACCCAATGATTTCGGTTTGCCTTAGGCTCACCACACGCTTCTAATGCATAAACTAACATACGTGTTTCTTCCATGACTACAACGAGAACGAGTGAATTAAACCATGTTAGAATCTCAGTACGTAGGCTGGGAAACCTCAACCGGAAGCGGTTCATCCGCTCCGTGTGGCCGGGACATCGTCGCGCGGCTTATGATCGTACGATCATAAGCCGCGCGGACGATCCGCCACGTGTGGCCCCGGCCTTACAGCTACCATAGCCATAATGTTCTACCACTTTACCTACACAATAAAGAAAAATACATTATTACGAATTCACAAAAAATCACAAATTATTCATGACATTAAAAACATAAACATAACTGTATATAAACGATCCTACTTTGACAGTTCTCTTTGCCTATCACAGTTTTTTGTTGCTGCTTGGTTCAAATTAGCTGTTTTACATAAATGCAAAAAAAATATAGTGCTACACCCTGTTGGTAAATCTTATAACTTTTTAATGCTTTTGTACATCATAGAACCAACTTTTAGTTGAAACAGCTGACTAAATTCTTGAATTCCCTTTAAATTATGAATACTCATAAGGATAACATGGGGAACTACAGAGCCACTGGGGCGGAGTCCGAAAGGATTTTTGAGATAAGAATATGCCTATATGTTAATAGATCAAATTAATAGCCTATAGAATCTCAATTGTTATCATATTGATTATACCATGGGCGTTTAATCATGCGTTCAACATGTAAAGGTACTCCAAAAATTGCATTTTATTGAATTACCCCTTGTTTAAAAGTTCTTTATCCAAACTTTCGTAGCAATAAAGGAAATTTAACCTTTAAATCTACGTCAGGCGTAAATAAATGATATGTCTCGATGGGTACTTCAATTTTGGGCTACAAGAAACACAAAGTTTTTTTTTATTAAAATTGTAAAAGCACTCAATGGATTGAAAACATTTACTGCATTTCATTATCAAAATCCATTAAGTTCCACCATTGTACAGCAA